ACTCCAGTATTTGTCCATACAAAGTGGGTCAACATTGATTAACCTTTACCATGACTGTTAAAGCTATACAAACTTGATGGTAAAGATTAATCAATGAAAGTCGAATTTCCTTGATTAACCTTTACCATTACCAATATAAGTATGCAAAAATTGAAAGTCGAATTTTATTGTTAATGCTCTCACGGTCTCACCTCATTTTCAGGTTACGTAAGGAGGATCTTACTCCCCATACTCTGTCTCAGTTGAGGAAAGCATTGCCACAGTTTTTCAGTGGTTCTTCCTTTATGAAGTCAAAAGACACTAATATTTCTCTGCATGTCAACTCCCAAAGTAGCAATATGGACTCTCAGTTGCTGAAAGTATTCCTCCTTCCATCAAAGCACAAAGACAATGCCTTAAAAGCCCAGTATGAAAGCTATGCATCAGCCTTGTGGAAACTTCGAGATCAGGTTTCTCTCTCTATTGCACTCAATCAAAATGAATCAGAATCTATTATCACCGAAGTAATTACAGTTCTTCAGAAACACTGATCATTTAGGCTATCTTCAGACCCCGTGATGCTAGGTGAAGGAAAGGAAAGGGAAACGTAAATGGAAAGGGAAATTATTTTGTAATATTTGGTTTTACCTCAGAAATGTTTCTCATCTCTCTATGTATATTTAGATTTTGTAGGATTTATATTTTATATAATACAATAAATTATAAAAAATGAGATGAACAGATAATATGTGTAAACCTATTGAGTTTGAAAAATATTTTATTTTCATCAATATTTCCTTGTCTTCCAGATTTTCCCAGAGTTTTCTTCCCTTTTTTCTTTCCTAGCATTATATGAACTCATAACAGACCCTTGATGTATCAACCATTGAAGTTTTGTCACTTTTGCAATTTGTGGATCATCAGGATATTTAAGTGGACCCCTTACCCCTAGTTGTTCAAGTGGCCCACAAATTACACATGATAAAACTTCAGTGGTCGGGTCATCACTGGCTCACTGCATATGGAGCACTTCTGTTTTTCTCAAATGTGTGCAATGGTTTTCTTGTGTGGAGAAAGAAGCTTTCTAAAGGGAGATGGTTTCCACCCATGCATGGGGTGTTTGATTAGTGGGAATTAGAAAAGGGTTTGGATGGTGGGATGTAGAATTCATGGGATCAATGCAATTTCTTTCAAGGAAAAAATTATTCTAATAATTCAACTTTTCCCAGTTCTTCCGATATGAGTACACTCTATTAAAACTTTCATGTCGGATTGATTTTTGCTAAAGTATTTTCACTCTAAAAATGGTTTGTTACTTGAAGGTGTTTAGAAAGGTTAGGAGAGACTTTTACATCGAGAAGAAAAGTGTTGAGTTATTATAATCAAAATTTCCTTTTAATCCTCATCATTACTTGCATTGTTTCTTGCAAACTCCGTTGAAATATCCAACTCCCATTTTAAACGCATGTCTCCCCATAAGCATTCTTCTCTTTGGAATTCACATGGCATGTAATCTCATGCCCAATCCCCACCAACAAACATGAGCATTTAATATTTTTGCGAGTAGGATTCCCATCCCCCACTAAAACAAATGGATTCTAATGGTAGATAATGTTGGGGTTTGCTTTCCTGTCGTTACTTTCTTCTTTATGATTTCTCTCCCATTAGTAACTCATTGATGTTCTCTCCCATTTAGGAATTTGGGGAAGGACTCGTCTATGTAACAAGTTTATACTATATTCTTCAGGTTTTGTCCATGAATGGTCCATCATTCTCAAGGACTGTGTCTGAACGTGACTGGCTGAAAAACTCTGCTAAGATATGGGATCTTGTTAAATCATCCTCTATTATTTTAGACTATTGTAAAACCCTCCAAAATTCAGGCATGTTCAGGAGGTAGTCATTTGTCTGTTATTTCATTCTAATTTGAGCTAAACGGAGATATCATGCGGACTGAAGGAAACTGGGGAATGCTTAAGCCGTTATGTATTATTAGCTCGCTACAACAGCATGAGTCTCACTTCGATTTTAAGATAAGAAATAGAGCCTGGATTTGTGTTGTGTAGTTGGAACTGGCCAGTTTAACAGTGTGATTGATTTTAGAGAAAAGGGTCAAATAAGCCCACATACTAACAAAAAGAAGGTCAAATAAGCCCTTATATAGGAGGCTCTGTCCGGCCGTCGCCATTTGGGGCGGTTCCAGGTGGAATCTTTTGATTAATTTTTTTGAGCATCTTACTCATTAAGTCTAGTTTACTCATACCAAATTTCAACTAAATCTTCAATCGAGAAGGCATTCAAATGAATTCTTGAAGATAACTGCAGAATTAGAAGCACAGTCATCTTCACGAATTCATTTGAATGCCTTTCTGATTGAATTGTTAACTGAAATTTGGTATGAGTAAACTAGACTTATAAGATGCTCAAAAAATTTCACAGGGAATTGCCCCAATCGGCGGCGACCGGACAGAACCTCTTATAAGGATTTATTTGACCTTTTTTTTTGTTAGTATGTGGGCTTATTTGTCCTTTTTCCCTTATTTTATGATATGTTAAAAAATCAAAGCGAAGTGAAGGTTCTTTTTTTCCTTCTATGTTCTTTTGTTTGCAAGATTTTTCCTTCTAGCTCTTGGTATGTTGTTGTTGGAGTAAAAGCGGCCTAGACATAAAACGGTCAAATTTGCTCGTCTCCTAGGATTATATAGATTATTTTAAAATGCCTATATAAATTACAAAAATGATATCAACCCATATAGTGTCATTTATCTCTTTTTTTATTAAAGGTGGACATATAGATTTTTGGTTCGGTTTTTATAAGTTTTGATTTGGTTTGGTCGGGAATGGATTGGAATTTAACTAAACAAAAATCTTACTCCCTCTTTCTCGAGATTAAGTTTCACTTCTCTGTTTGGAGATGTTTCAAAATAAGTTCTTACTTCAACTTCTTTCTATATTTGGCAAGTTTTATTATTTATTTACTACCTCCGTAACTTTAAAATTTTCTCACTTTTCTTTTTCGTGCGTAACAAAAAAGTCTTCCAATTTCTAAATCTTCTCATCATATTCTCAATAATTCTTAAAATAATATACTATTACAATTACTTTTTTGGATTTATCCTACATTCCACCATATTACTCCACTATTTTCTCATCATATCCTCAATAATTTATATCATCTTTCACTATTCTTAATCTACCTACTTTTAAAATGAGAAGATTTTAAAGTTACGGAGAGAGTATCTTTTTACCCTCACAAGTCACATCACTTCTTTGAATTGATGTCCATATTTCATTATGCATTTACCTCTTTATTTTACCCAATTGAGTACAACATCTTTAAATTACCTATGGAAAATCAATTTTAGTTCATATTCTACCTTAAAATCCGTGAAGTCAAACTAGAAACTTAATCAAGGGATGGACTTATGGAGGGAGTACTATTTTTCGGTTTGGTTGATTTAATTCGGTTCGATTTGATTCGGGTTTTTTTTATTTATTAATAACACATGAGTTTTGTTGAATTAATTTAGTTCAATTCGATTTTGTTCAATTTCTTCGGTTTCAGTTCGACTCGAGTTAATATAGGTTAAAAGAAATGTTACCAAACTCAAACCAAGTTGCATATGATCTGGTTTCATTTTGATTTAATTCAATTTGGTACGCTTCAATTAAACAAAATCAATGGGTATATCCCTATTTTTCACTTATGTTATTGGAATTTTTAATTTTTTCTTGGATGAAATTATGAAAAGTGTCGTAAAAATGTAAAATTCAGTCCGGCACAGCCATCACATAAAAATATCACTTTTTAATTTTATATGATATGCAAGTGTGTTGCTGAAAATTGACATATACGTAGTATATTTTACAATCTTTTGGAGTAGCTGACTACTCAATCAACTTACTTTAGTTGAAATAAAAGAAAGAAAAATTTCACATGAATAATCCAAACTATTAAGAGTCTTCCCATATTAATCCCAAATATTGATAATTCTAATATAATCCCAAATTCAATGACCGTCTTCTCCCCTTGATCCAATTCACATGTGACCTATTTAGCCAGTAAAAATGAAAAGAACACTATTCATCTTCTTGCTTTTGCATCTGGACATCTTAAATGGAAATTTTCGCAAGGTAGGCAACTAAGACGAATACCACCACACTTATCTTCCGCTTTACTCTTCTTCTAAGAAGATGTGATGACTGACCCATCCACCACCGCCGGCAGTCGAAGTAGAACCGGCGTGTGAGTTTCCATAGGTTTTTTGAACGGTTGCAGCCACAGTGTCATAGCCCTTATTATTTTACTTCTGACCGCAGACCACGTCATTCGAGCACCACTGCTACTCTACATCGGTCCTCCTGGTCCTGCGCCCCCTGCTCTAGATTCATCACTGCCCTTCCCCCAATACCCTTTTTTGTTTGTACCAGTGCTGGTATTTGTTTATTTACATATATATATACTAAGTAAATTATAGTCCATAAATTAATTAAATTGTGATTGGGTGATTTTTTTTTCTTTTTGAAGAAGATGGAGCTTGCTGGAAGAAGGGATGAGAAAGAAGAACTGAAGAGATGACCTTGAATACCGCTGGATTGCTGGAAGCGTTGGTATTGTTCGGTGCTCCGGCCATTCCTCTTACTGTTGATGCCAATTCTTCTATGGTCTCCTTGGCTCCTCGCTTAGCACGATTGCCATGTTTTTTTTTAGAGTTGATGGCCATGGTTAAAAAAACAAACAAGGAAAGAAAATATAAAGTAAAACAAAAATATTACGGAGTATATTCAGACCAATAAAATTATGACACGTGTCAAAGTGACCTGTTTATTAGGTTGATGCAGGTCACCGGAATGTTTAGAGAAGATGCCCCTGATAATTTAGATTATTATAGAATCTTCAATAGTTGGGATTAATCTTGGAAGACGGCTAATAGTTCGGATTATTTATGTGAATTTTTTTCCTAAAAGAAAAACCAAAACTCCTTTCCGTCGAAGCAAAAAAACATAAACACAGATCAGGTTGAAGCTTTTATCAAGCAATTAAGTTCCTGAAATTGATTCTCATGCAAGATGCAACTGAAAAGAGCACAGATTTAGTGGAATCATTAAACGGGCATTTCACTGATTTCAGAGCCCAAAGAAAAAGAGACATAAAAGTGAATCAGAATCTCAAATCACTATAAAACACAACATTGTCCAAGTACAGTTGCTGATAGATTGTACAAGATTCCGTTTGTTTAACTTAAAATCTGACATACAAATTTTGCAATTTACTCTTCCATTGCATTCCCAGAAGTTCCTTCCGTTTGTTTATGGGATTTTGATTTGCTCTTGCCTGTAAAAATAAAAACATTTTTACACAAGCAAACTTTCAGTGCAATCTCTGTTTGTTAGCCACAATCTGCTAAATAAGTAGTTTTGACTTGTTCATTTTGCTGAAATGGATTTTACCAAATACTTTTCCTTATACAACTCCGCAATCTCAGCCAAATAGCACTTCCAAACAGACACCAAGTACGTAAAACCAAAGTTTAGTAATTCACCTTTCTTCTTCTTAAGCTGCTTCAATTTGAGTTTTGAGCTCTTCTTTAAGTGGAAATTCCTGGGGTTCTTGTTGGCTTCTCCAACCTTCCCTGATTTGATTAAAACATGGAAGAAGTTAGATTGTTTTTCAGCTGACGTAGCCGCGTAGGCATGTCGTAACAATATCTTAGAGACATAGAAACACACCATCAGCAACAGCCATTTCAACATCTTCCATCGTGATTAAGCCCTTCCCCAGAGCCTCCTTTTGCTCCTGTTCACCACCATACATCAAAACTTCAATTGAAAGTTTTAAGGTGTGCAAACCGAGAAGTGTTTTTCTACTTCTATAGTAATAAGTTACAAGTTTTGTACTTCATAAGCAGACCCACCATAAGCCAGCATTAGAACATCTGTCATTCAGCTTTCATGTTATGCAAGTGAAAAGTGAGAACCAGTCTCGTGCATTAAATTTGATATCCAATGGCTGATGGCTCTAATAAGCCAACGATGCGCCACACGGTGTCAATTTGGCAAACATGGACATCAATTTGGCAAACATGGACATCCAATAAGCCCAGAAAGAACTCTTTTATTGGAAAAGCATCCTGTATATGTGTGATGACAATACTAATAAAAAATGTTGAGACTCTGGTTGGTAGAAATATATGGGTTTTTCCGGCTTACTGCTTATTTGCCTATAATGGAGGCAGTCGGAATACGTCTTCTTTCAAAAGGCACCGAGACTGCCATTTCAACCATACAACCCTTAACAAAAATCCCTAATATTCCAGTTTGAAATGTCAATTGGGCGTTGATTGTGAACTGAACGAACCATTTAGTTCGACCCAGCAACAATTTATATCTTACTTATTTGAAAACTATTTTAAATGGACTAATAAGGCTCTGCCATCGACCTTGAGACGTTACTACTCATACTCTTCTATCTAGGTTTTGCTTGTTTATACGCCATATGAACTCATAATTGAGGAGTAGTGAAGAAAAAACTAACCTTTCTCCATTTTTTGAAGATCTTGCGCTTGCGCTTCCCGGAAATCGAAAGTGGCTGGGGTTTCTGTTTAATCTTTCCGGTAAAGGGATCGCCGAAAATCGCTCTCTTTCGTTCAGCGATTGCCGCTCGCCTTTGTTTCTGCACCTTGTTGAAACTCGGCATCCTAAAACCCTAGCCGCTATATTTCCTTCACCTCCACCTTCTCTATCTATGCCTTCTCTATCTAGCCGCTATCTATGCCGCTATATTTCAAACCAGGCCAATTCAGACGAAATAGATTAAGAGCCGGTTTGGTAGAAGGAAAATCTGTTTGGCAGAAGGAAAATCGGCTGGTTTGGCTGATTCTGCTGAAATTTATGAAGTTCTGGCTGAAGTGGCTGCATTGGCTGATTCTGCTGATTTAAGAAAAAAAATATTTTTAAAATATATTTTATTAATAAAATAAAGAAAAAATTATATGTAAAAATAGCTAAAATGGTCATCTACAGTAACTTCAGCCAATACAGCCAGAAAAGTAACTCCAACCTTACTTTTTCTGCTTATTACACAATTCAGCGCGCTAAAGCAAAAATTACGTGTTTGGTGGAAAAGTTGACTGATAAGCCTGATAAGCCGAAAAGGGGTGTTACCAAACGGCACCTAAATTTGGATAGTTTGTTTGTGTTAAGTAGCTTATATATCATTAAAATAACATTCAGCAGAAGTACAAGAACGTGAAAGGACCACATGTAATCATTCACCTTTGGCCGAGATTCTGAGTTAATCACCTTTGACAAAACAATATAACTCGCTAGACCTAACTTGGACAAATTAAAGCTAACGACAATTACCGTAAACCTCTTAACCCCCAAACCCAATGCAAGAGTTTTACAGCAGAAAAAGGAGTAAAAACAAAATATAATAGTTTGATCGTGGAGTAACACGAAAATTAATAAAATAAACTGACAGAGCAACTGAATCCATGCTTCAAATATGATCCTCGACGGGTGGCTCAGGAGGGGATGAATCATCAATCCTTCATCTTGAAACATTCCTTCCAAACCCACCAACACAATTTTCACTGGTATCTTCTTAATCCCTATGATTATAGCCCGAATGAACCCGGAATCCATGCTTACCTTCCCAATCGATACCAGTGGCACAAGCGAGGAGTCCATAACCCGAGCAAGATCACGGTCCAAAACTGCTTACTATATTTGTTTTACGCTAATCGTCGCCACGACCAAACCGCACGACTCTCGCCGGCCGCATGTAGTCTCTGTGTGTAAAAACGAAACAAACAAAAAGAACTGGTCTTCGATCGGTGAGATCGAAATCAGAAGGACAACCTAGCGGCGCACCCTAGGAAAAGAGCTCTCCAACGAAGCCCACGCGTAAATTTGGATAGTTATAAAAATACAAAATGACCAAACATTACCAGGCCAGATCAGATCAGACTAGTAAATTACAATCCAAGAAAAAACATCATAAATATCAAGTGAGTTTTTTCTTTGGAAGATATCAAGTGATTTTTTAGAAATTGCCTAAAATATAAACAAACCATAAATCAAAAATAGTCATATTTGCTGAAATTGAATAAGTTTTGTGTGATTTATGAAAAAATATTTCACTAATAAAATTAATAAAAAATCGTATGATAAAAACCTATCTAAGATGACTTTAATCAATTTAATCGGAAAAGTATTTAGGTCTAGCGAAAGTAACTCTAACTATAATTATTTTGAATCTCCGACTATTAAATTATTCAACGCGCAAAATGAAAGTAAAATCAAATGTAATGTATTTGATAATAATTTGGCTGATAAACTAAAATAAGGTTACCAACTCGCTCTTATTCCCAAAATTAGATCTATTTGATTGAATCCTATATATTCCCTCTGTAACACTTATATCTCATCATTTTCCTTTTTCAACAGTAACGTTCATATCTTCACATTTCTAAAACTTCTCATCATACCCTCGATAAATTTATAAATAATATTAGTACTTTGTATAGAATTTGTACACTATCACATTTTCTTATTTAACCTTCATTCCAGCACAATATTTCATTATCTTCTCATCATACTCTCAATAATTTATTTGAAGTATATTATTCCACTTTCATAATTTTACCTACTTTTAAATGAGAAGATATGAATGTTACGGAGGTGTTCATCATACTCTCAATAATTTTTATGGAGTATATTCTTCCACTATTCATAATTTTATCTACTTTTAAATGAGAAGATATGAGTGTTACGGAGGCGGTATTACTTATTTCAATGTTCCGTAGCAATAAAAGAAGGGGTTTTTACATAAATATTACTAAAACAAGATTTATTTACATAAATATGACTATTAGTTACTACAATGTAATGTCACAGTAACTCAAGTTTAAAATTTAAACATAACTTACTATGATTTCATTACTACCCAAGTCACTGATCACATTTTTATAAATAATCTTCATTTTAGTCTTGAATAAGAAGATAAGTCTTCTTTCTAAATAATGAATAACTTATGCTTTCGGAATGAAATGTTGTGTTTTAATTAAGAAAGTTCTCTTTATCGATAAAAAAAGTTCTCTTTATTAATTAAGATATTTGTTAGATTTTACAGACATAGACATAATTATATAAATATTTGGTGAGAGTTTGAGGTATTGTTAGAGTTAAATGTGTTGAAATAATGGAAGTTAATTGTAAAATGGTTTTTTTTACAAAAATAATAGAAAAATAAAACTTATTTACATAAATATGACTATTAGTTACTACAATGTAGTGTTATAGTAACTTAAATTTAAAAGTTCAATATAAGTTACTATGATGTCATTACTACTCTAGTCACTAATCACATTTTTGTAACTAGTCTTTATTTTAGTCATAAATATATAATTATTTCTTGTAAAATACATGCTTACAATGCTAATCTAATGTTCGAATCTAATCAGGAACACCAATTAAAAAAGAACTTGAGACTTCTAAGAACAGTAATAGTGTTTTACTCAAGTATGGCTATTTTTAATATCTACAATTATGATTTTGGCAAATTGTGTTTGTAACATGTTAGAATCACTAATGGTTTAGTATAACTTTAGGTCTCAAAAATTTAAGAGAAAGCTAGACATACTCTCATAGTCTCATTTAGAGAAAGGAAATTTACCAGTAATGCTTTATTATTATAACTTAAAGTTCAGGGTGTTGAATACCGATAGCATAGTGAGTTATACAATTATTGAAATCTTCCATACTTTCATAATTAATTAGGGATATATGCTCTCTTATGTTCCTCATAAGCTGCTATGACATTAAACCACCGCCCAACCCAGGGTACAAACCGATTATTCTCATGCCAATGTGATGAAAACCCCAAAGGCCAAAGCTCTCTTGTCCATTACAACATACTTGTCACGGATAGGCATAAGTCAGGAGATAGTGATCCAAAAAAACAAAAGAATGAACCAGTTGTTCCTCCCAAGTAATATGGGAAACATAGAACACAAAAGGATTCCAGAGCAACCAAATTTTCTTGGCTAAAGGGTCAAATAGGCCCATGTACTGGTCGTGTAGGTCAAATTCAGTCACTGAACTACAAAATGATTCAATTCACACTCCAAATCGACAAAAGAGATTCAAATTTCATTTTTTAGGAGTAAACAACCGGACATTTTTTTATTTTTTTAAATTGTTTTTGTTTTATATTTTCATTTTATTGCAATTTTGACATTTTTTAACAGTTTAGGGGTGCAATTAGACTTTTTTACCAGTTGTTTAATCTTAAAAAATGAAATTTGAACCAATTTTTGCCGGTTCAGAGTGTGAATTAGATTTTTTTTTAGTTTAGGGACTGGATTGAGTTTACAGGACCAGTACATGAGCCTATTTGACCCATTTGCCAATTTTCTATTTAGATGTAAAAAGCATTTAGGAAAACCTATCTCCAACTTGAGAGCCTTCCTTTATGATTATCAACCATACGTTTAAAAATGGAAATAAATTGAATGTCATACTGCCTAATCAAACTAGATAGTCTCATGCGGGAGGAAACACAAGACCTCTAGTATTCCAAAATAAGCGAGTCAAATGTTGCATTTTTCTTAACGAATTGCTTGTGTACACGTGCAAAATAAATGAGGGTGTACAAAAGTGGGTACAAACAGTTTTTTTTGTAGTAGCATATCATTTATTTAGCAGAGAAGGATCAAACATCATGCATGCACTAATGTTGTTAAGAGTAGTCACTAAGGGTTTATAAAGCATCGAATTTATGAGAGGGAACCCCCACAAGAAGCACTTGCTGAGTGGTATAAATTTCTTTTCACATTCTTCTCCCATATGACTCCCATCCTCGCTACCCTCAATTATAATTTCTTCAATGAAAAGTATATCTTGTTACAATTAGACTCTTTCTGAAACCTTCGTTTGAATGCTAATTCTAGAAACAACTCTAGGGGCCGACATTGGAGCTTTACGGGCGTGTTTGGCAGGGGTGGAGACAGGGGGTTGGTGATGGCCAAGACCCGTGCAAAACAAAGTAGTATATATGCAAAAAAACAAATTTATATATATTAAATTTGATTTGGCCCCTACAAAAAATGGATATAATATAATTATGATTCAGCCAGCCCCTGAAATTGTAAAGCCCAAAAATTAACAAATAAAAAATTAGAATACTTTAAGTCCATTTGGGAAACCCAATTAAAATCCATTTGAGAAGTAATCCACTAAATAACTTCAAACTCATCTGAGAAGAAATCTATCGTGTGTTTCAAATGTCAAAGACAAAGGTCCAATATTTTTTTACGAGACAAACCCCAATTTGGCCCCCAAATTCTAAACATTAATTTTAATCAATTGAAATGTTTTATCTGGTTCTCAAAGCGTACGAAAGGGACGCAGTGCGCTGGAAGCAGAAGAAAGCGGAAGATCTATCGTGTGATTCACCGCCGCCTGCTGCTCCGCGCCTTGATGCCTCTGTCTGCTTGTCCAGTGCTCCGCCGGTGCTCCGCTTCCTGGCTGCTACCCTGCTCTAATCTCTAATGACTAATGCCTCTCTTCACCTTCTTTGCTCTGGCCGGGCCATAGTAATTGGTCTCTAACTCTCTAATCTCTCATTCAGGTAAGAGCCTATGACTTCTATGATGTATCTCATACCCGAAATTGTCTACCTTGTTTTGGAAATTTGGAGCTTTGATTAATTTTAAGTTGCTGCTGTTTAGGGTATATAACTTTGGTTAATTGTTAATTAAATTGACTGAAAGATTTTTGTTGACCGGGGATGATGGGATCTTGTTGATTGCTTGAAGCCTTGAATGGTTATATGTTAGAGTGAGTCTGGGAGTCGGAAGTGAGTGAGGCCGTGAGGGACTGAAACCATTTAAAGCGTTGTTGCTTTAATGCTTTTTGTCATTTTGACAGATTTGATCGATAATAATAATAATTACTATTATTATGTCATATAGGTGATTATTATGTCCAATCAACGACAATATGTTCCTATTTTAAGCTAAAGGTCCCAAAGAATGTGTGTGTAAATACTATTGAATCCACTTCTACTCCGGATCCTGAACAACCACCTCCTAAAGTTCAAAGAATTGATATTCAAACTTAAAAGTTTGATATTGATTCATTAATTCATGATCCGGGTTTATGTCCTCAAATTTGGACCAATCGAATTAGTCAACAAGATGAAATTAGGAGGGCATATATAAACTTTGGACCGTATCAGTTTGTTGAGTCTGAATTTGAGTACCCACTTTCTAGCTCAAAGACTCATCCCCGACGTTTTCAACCTCATTGGTTCACTAACTTTCCATGGTTAGAATATTCGCCTGCAAAAGATGTGGCCTTTTGTCTTCCGTGTTTTATATTTGCAAAGAAATCAAATGGAAAACTTGGATCTGATGCATTTACTTCTTCTGGGTTTAGAAGTTGGAAGAAAGTAAACAGTGGCAAAGATTGTTCTTTTCTTATTCATGTAGGGAAAGTCCCTAATTCTACACATAATAATGTTGTCTTGAGTTATGAAGCTTTAAAGAATCAATCATGTCATCTCGAGAAAGTGAGAAAAGCAATCTTCAAAACAAATATTGGAGAGTTGGTTGTGGATAAAAACATCTATTGATGTTGTTAGGTGGCTCACATTTCAAGCTTGTGCTTTTAGAGGACAAGCTGAGAGTTCAGACTCATAAAATCAAGACAATTTTCTTGAGTTGGTTAAACTTCTTGCTTCGTATAATAATGACGTCAATAATGTTTTCTTGTTAAATGCACCACAAAATGCTAAGTACACATCACCACAAATCCAGAAAGAAATCTTGAATATGTTTGCAATGAATGGCAAAGTGTCATAAGGGATGAGGTTGGAATAGCAAAATTTTGCATCATTGTTGATGAGTCCTCTGATGAATCTAAAAGGGAGCAATTGGCGTTAGTGGTGAGATTTGTTGATAAATTTGGATATGTGCGAGAACGCCTTTTAGATCTTGTGCATGTGAGGGATACGACTGCACTATTTCTTAAAAAAAAAATATTTGTGATGCTCTTTCTCACCATAATCTTAGTGTTCAGAATATACGTGGTCAGGAATATGGTGGAGCTAGTAATATGCGAGGGAAGTGGAATGACTTGTAAGCTTTAATTTTAAAAGACTGTCCTTCTGCATATTATATTCACTGTTTAGCTCATCAATTACAGTTAACTCTTATTGCTGCATCTAGAGAAGTGCCTGAAGTACACACATTTTTTTTAGAATGTGATATTTGTCATTAATATTGATGGTGCTTCGTGTAAATGGAATAATGAATTGAGAGCTAATCAGATGGAAGAAGTTGCTCAGTTAGATGAGCTCAATGAACTTGATAAAGGAAAGGGTCTAAATCAAATTACAACTTTGAAAAGACCAACGGATAAAAGATGGAGCTCTCACGGTAATTCAATTTATAGTCTTCAGATTGTTTGGTCCAACTTGTTCCGTTCTCCAAACCGTAATTGATGGAGGATCATCATACTCTCAGCGTGGTGATGCTACTTTTGTTTTAAAAATGACGATGTCTTTTGATTTTGCATTTATATTGCATTTAATGAAAGAAATCACGGGGATTACAAATATCCTTTGTCAATGTTTACAAGAAAAGACACAAGATATTTTGAATGTCATGCATTGAGTCGCTACGACTAAAACATTGATTCAAAAATTGTGAGATGAAGGTTGGGATTCACTTTTAAACAAAATGACATCTTTATGTGAAAGTAAGAATATCCCTATTCCTGATATGAATACAAATTTTTCTGATATTATTCGTTCTCGTCGCAAGAAGAATATTGCAAAAGTGGAGCACCATTATCGAGTGAATGTCTTTCCAGTTGCTATTGACATACAGTTAGAAGAGTTGAACAACAGGTTCAGTGAACAAACAACGGAGCTTCTTGTGCTAAGCAGTGCTCTGGATCCTAGAGATGGGTTCAAGTCATTCGACATCAGTAAGATATGCACACTTGTTGATAAGTTATATCCTCATGATTTTTCTGATCAAGAAAAGATCAATTTGAGTTTTCAGTTGCAGCATTATCAACTTGATGTGCCTAATCATCTCTCTTTGAAGAATGTTTCTTCTATTACAGATTTATGTCGAGGGATGATCGAGAAGGGGAAGTCTGGAATTTATCCTTTGTTGATAGATTGAATAGACTGGTTTTAACTCTTCCAGTCTCGACAGCCACTACAGAGCGAGCATTTTTAGTGATGAAGATTTCCAAAACAATACTTCAGAACTGAATGGAAGATGTTTTTCTTAGAGATTCCATGGCTGCTTACATTGAAAAAGAAATTGCTGAAAAGATTCTTGTGGATAAAATCATTGATGATTTTTATTTGATGAAGGAGAGACGTGCAAGACTCCAATAAAAAATGTAATTTAGTTGTTTTGATTTTTATTTAGAATGTTGGACACCTTAGCTACTTTTTTGAAGTGTTTGTTGTATAAAACTCTTTCGTACGATCACATATCAGGAAAATATGCTTTTTTGTGTTAAAGGATTACAAAATTGAAAAGGGAACCTTACAAAATTTTAAAAAAAGAAGCCCGAAAGCCCTATTCACCTGTCTAGAACTCTAGCGATTCTCCTCTTTGCTATTTCATTTTTTTGTCTTCTCTTCTAATAGCAAACATGTAAGATTACAAATTCAATTGAAAAATTCTGTGTATACTATATAGTTTCCTTTTGTATGCTTTCAAAATTGTCCGACATCGGAACTGAGGTTACAATGAGTGCTAGATTGAATGAAGGAAGTGGTTGCTCAGGGGCGGAGCTAGGGGGTGCCCAGGCTAGGCCCTGGCCCACCCTAAATTTGAAAAATGTCAATATTTTTAGTGTAAAAAATTTCGTGTAATTTTTTTTCCAATAATATTCTTTGTACCGGCCCAGTCTAGCCCAGTGTCCTGGTTACGCCCCTGTGGTCGCTCAATCCAATCCCCCCTTCACCAATAAAACTTCGAGTAGCTCCTTGGTTTGGACTAAATTTCAATCCAAAATTAATTGACCAAAATTTGTAAATTTCATACAAGTATACAACGTATAGGCTAAACTATTCATTCCTTTCATTTGAATGTGACAAATAAATCATGATATCGTGTATATATAAACCACAATTTACCCAAACTAAGTTCACACCAAACCAATTCACAACCCAAAATGTAAATCAAATTAGCAATAATAATTTTAACATACAAGTTCGACCGTAAGTGGTGAAAAGTGAAAAAATTAGAGATGATGACATCCTTATTGGATTGAATCGCTACCACGAAGAGCGGATATGTGCGACCTTATGGATGAAGATGCTAGATTTCCGTTTCTTTGACCTTGATTTCTCTAGTTTCCCCTGATTTTCTTCGCTTTCCAGACGTGACCCTTGAACGGTTATTGAAGTATTCGTTAAATCTTTTCTGTTATATATCCCATTTCATTGAAACCTTAGATTATTCGTTTACTTGTATTTTTGCTCTCATTTTATGACTAAATTAGTCATTTAATTAAAAAAAATGAAAAGATGACCTCTAGTAATTAGGCCTGGATGCACCAAATCATTTCCTAATAATTTTTTAGGGAACACCCATTTTTTATAAAAGTGTTAGGACATCCATTTGTGTACACTTGGCACTGCTCCATTGGATAGTTCTACAAAAAATGACGCGCAAAACGCAAAAGCATAATAGTTTTTGTAAAACACGAAAGGCCTGAATATAACCTTTTGGAGTTTCTACAAAATTCTATCCAATTGCAGAGGTTTTTTTTTGGTTTATCTTCATCAAACCCTCCATTTCAACCGACTGCAATCCGCTTCCCGCGATTCTTCAGAGGATTGACCAGCTCATTTTCAACTATTCCGTACGTCTTCCATCAATGCTTTCCAAAACCTAGGGTTTCCATTCAATCACATGTTATCTGATTTGATACGTACACTTGTGATGAGAAGAAGGGACACAGGTGTTTTCTGAGAAGAAGAACAAAACGAGTTTTGCAGAATAGGAGAACTGAAAAGTAGACGCTAAAGGAAGGTGTCGCTCTGGTCATTTTTGAGGTACAAGGTGTCGCTTGGGGAGTTGAGTATTCGTAGATCGTTTTTTTCAAACTTGAGTCGTTTCTGTCCAGTCTGCGTCGTTTCCGATATCCGACCCTGAGCGATCGTTTCGGAATTCCTACCGTGAGCCTCTTATTGTTTCCTACTTATATGAACGACGCAGATCAACAAAGATAGGCGATTCCGCGATCTAACGAAGTTAAGATCGTGATAACCTTGAATTTTAATTATTATCTAATATCTTTATATACTATCCTACTACGTAATGTTTATGTCTTAGATTATGAAGAAATTATTTAGGCCTATTGAAATGTGTGATTTTATATTTTAGTTTTTATATAGAGTTTGTTGTAGTGTGTGATTTTACTTCTTACTATTTTGTTATTTAGGTTATTCTATTTTTTTTTACCCACGCTGGATTAAAATGTTAGATCTGCCCCTTATCCGTAGGTTCTTTTAATTTCAAGATTTCTATTTTGTTATTTTCACCAATTCTATTAAAATGGATTGATTGAAAAATGTTTTCTTGCAGCTCACATAGAAGAGGAACAAGAGAATGTTGAGGCTGCAAACATATGCAGGGCTTAGCTTAATAGCTACACTGGCTGTTATTTATCATGCTTTCAACAGTCGAGGCCAATTTTACCCAGCAACACTCTACTTATCAACCTCGAAGATTTGTTTAGTGATTCTCCTTAACATGGGTCTTGTCATTATGTGCATTTTGTGGCAATTAACTAAGAAAATATTCCTTGGTTCCCTTCGTGAGGCCGAGGTTGAGAGGCTAAATGAACAGTCATGGCGGGAAGTCATGGAAATACTTTTCGCCATCACTATCTTCCGACAAGACTTCTCAGTTTCATTTCTTGCTATGGTTACCGCCCTTCTACTTATTAAGGCCTTGCATTGGTTGGCTCAAAAGAGAGTTGAGTACATCGAAACAACCCCGACGGTTCCGCTGCTGTCCCACTTTCGTATTGTCTCCTTTATGGGGTTTCTCCTGGTTATAGATAGTCTCTTCTTGTACAATTCCATCAGCTATTTAATGCAGACAAGACAGGCTTCAGTTTCTCTATTCTTTTCGTTTGAGTGAGTTGTTGTGCTACTTAGTTCTGCAAGCCTGATCATGCACCTAAGCTACGTTTGTTTCCATGAAAGTATTTCCTTGAAAAATGTTTTCTGATCTTCCTGTTTTTAGGCACTTGAAAATGGTAAAACTTTCCCATATTCTGGGGCATACATTATACTACGGAGTATGATATATTATACTCCCTCTGTCCCCTTTTAAATGTCCCATTTTACCATATTGGGATGTCCCTATTTAATTGTCTCATACCTTATTTGGTAAAGTTTGTGTGGCTCAGAATCATTCTTACTTTATCAATTAATATCAACCACACAAACCCACTTTTCTTAAAACTCGTGCCACCCTCTTCCGTCCCAATATAAAAGGGACGGAGGTAGTACGTAAAACCACTTAATTTCTTGAAAACTTTTACAATAGAATACTAGAGGAAAATATTTCCTCATGGATATTTTCATCATGTTTCTGGAAACGAATGGTGCCTTTGTCATGTTAGCCCATGCTAGTTTGATTGTATACACATCCAGTCATCTACATTGCTTTTTTTGCTCACATGTGTATTATACTTGTTGTTTATATTTACTTTAGCTCCCTCTTTGCTAAGCAACTTTACTGGTGTTTTGTCTCAGGTACATGATTCTTGCAACAGCTACAGTTTCAACTTTTGTGAAATATGTATTTTATGTGAGTGACATGCTTATGGAAGGACAATGGGAGGGAAAAGCTGTCTGTACATTCTACTTGGAACTTATTCGAGACTTGCTCCACTTGTCTATGTACCTATGCTTCTTCCTTGTGATTTTTATGTAAGTATCGACACTTGACATTACTGTTCTTCTCTTCATGTCATGTGCTTGTAAGTGGTAAAGCCCGGGTTACATAGTGTCTTACCTTCAACGCAATGTTGAAGCTGGTCCAAGATACAAATATAAAAAGGGTTTCATGTAACTTGAGATGAACTATGAATGCACTATTTACAAAGCAGTGAAAGCACCAAAGTGAGACTCTTAACAAAAGTCTCTTTTAAAAGGATGTCATCTGCCTTAACAAAGTACTTTGGTAAAATGGTGCTTGCATGCCAGTTGTATTGTATTATTGTGTTTTTTCAATTATGACCTTTGTACCCCGGTCTTTATTTTTTTGAATTGCATACAGCTGCATTTGGCTCCAATTTAATGTGTACGCTAGATATAGCTTAATGAAATTATTGTGTTTTTTCAATTATGACCTTTGTACCCCGGTCTTTATTTTTCTGAATTGCATACAGCTGCATTTGGCTCCAATTTAATGCGTATGCTAGATATAGGCATATAGCTTAATGAAATCATAATTTGTATAATTTACAATAATGTTTTTGAAGAAGTAAAGGATTTATTTGAGCTTATAGGAAGAAAAAAGGGAATGATGCTTAAAGGTTCACATTTTTTGTTAGAAAAAGTTGAATGGTGTAGAAGTAAAGAAGCACTTTGGAGTCTGAGCTCTTTGAACTTAAAAGAAGAAAATGAAGGGAATGACTCACGTTTTTTGTTAGAAAAAACAGAACATGGAGAATTTTAGGAAGCTCTTCGGAGTTGAAGATGATCAAAACCTTCTCGTGTGCCAAATACAAAAAGAGGGACATTTAGGTAGTGTAGCAGGTATTCTGAACCAACCCTGAAAGGATGCACCCCCTATTTCACATAATTTTTCTGTAATGAAGCACCATTTGCTATAGGTGAATAGGTTCATTTTGTATTTATGTTTTACTTAATTGTCTAGAAACTATGGAGTACCCCTACACTTGATTCGAGAGCTTTATGAAACATTTCGCAACTTCAAGATTCGCATTGCTGATTACATACGCTATCGGAAGATCACTTCAAATATGAATGGTCGTTTTCCAGATGCTACACCTGAAGAGCTCAATGCGTAAGTTGCTTGAAACAAAAACATTTTCTATGTGATTTCTTTAGTCATTTTTGTAACACTTGTTTTCATTGCAGAAGTGATGCTACATGCATCATTTGCCGAGAAGAGATGACTAACGCAAAGAAACTTATCTGTGGACATCTTTTTCATGTGCATTGCCTCCGTTCATGGTTGGAAAGGCAGCACACCTGTCCTACCTGCAGAGCACAAGTTGTACCTTCTGAAAATAGTGAAGCAGGACCAACAGGAGCACAAGCTCTTTCTCAGCACGGTATACAACTTTGTTTCACTGATGATCCATTCTTAGTCATTTATATTTTTCTGGAAGATTTTGAATTACAATCCAGGACTGGGAAGTGTACATCACGTCAGTTTACAGTGTGTGCTTTAACTTTAGCATATCAGTATTATGTTCAAAAGCAAGTGGGGAATTTGGGCCATAGAATCTTAGCCATTGTGCAAGTGCACAATAGTAGTTGGATATAAGGCTGTTAACGAGCCGAGCCGAGCCGGAACACCCACAGCTCGAGTTCGGCACGATAAAAGTTCGATGTTCGAACTGAGCGCTCGATAAGCTCGATAAATATGCACAAATTAAAAAATTTAGGTAATGCTTGTTAATAGCTTGTGCTCGAATGATTCGACAAGTATTCGGTTCGTTAATAATCATATTTAAATTCATAAAATTCATACTAACTATATTTAAGTTTTGACATTTATATATATATATATATATATATATATATTATATTTATAATTTCAGGTGTTCAATAGGCTTGAGTTCGAACCGAGCCAAATACTACTATGTTCGAGCTCGGCTCGATTAATTTTTCAAACTTAAAACTCAGCTCGGGTTCGAGTTCGAAAGCTCGGTAAGCTCGGCTAGTTAGGTTCGAAACCGAGCTCGAACTCAAATAGTTTGATAAAAGCTCGATTCGTTAACAGCCCTAGTTGGATATTACTTTTCTAATGTCCCCAAAACAATGCATCCGTTGTGCCCATGAACATTCTGTAGAACCAAGGAGCAAAGTATCCGTTGTGCAATGTAGATGTGTGGCAGTAGTTGCATATTGTCTAGGATGACTGATTGATCACTAATCTGTTATATGTGGCATCAGAAGACATTTAAACCATGCTTTATTTATCTTTTTTATTTTGTTTGGTTATTTGCTCTTCTTTTGTTTGTAATCATTTTATTGAAAAGGGAACTGGGAGCTCTTCATCTTTATTCGTATTCATCAGGTAAAGTGATGGTGTGCTTTCCTTCATGCTAAAACTGCCAGGCGGTATTTGCACCTCAATTCTCACTGTGCATGTAAAACACATGCACACTCATATTCAAAAGAATAAACATATCTTTCATAGAAGCTTGCACACTAAAATTATAGCTTTGGAATGCACTTAATTGAACTCTTAATTTGCTTAGTTTTAATTTTCTGGTGGTTATACATGCTACACTTTCTTTTCATATATCACTTATCCTTCTTGGTTGGATGCAGGAACAAGTGTTCAAAGTTCATCCCAGGGTCCACAAGCTGGTGGTGAGAGAAATGGCAATATTAACCAGCATCAAGCTAGGGTACAAGCGGCCGTCGCTGCTGCTTCAATATATGGAAAATCTTATGTTTATACATATGCACCCATACAGTCGTGGTACTAGCTTTCTTATTCCATCATTGTATTCAGTGCATGTGCTGTAACGCTGTATTGCAAGGGTATTGCGAATGCACATTATTTCTGCTACATAAGTGTGTCTGTAATTTCAGGTGGATCTTTCTGGGATTAGTGTGGAACTGTGGACTACTTAATTACTACCTGACATTTATAAACTCAATTTGGTAGCTTTAGTTTTGGTCAAGGACACCATTGCTTTAGGTTCTGTTTGGAATCAGGACAATAAATATGTTAAGGAAAGAAAACAGCAAGGAAAATAGAGGGAAAATATGGGTGGGAAAAAACTTGAGCAGAAAGTAGTAATAAACAATCTATCATAACTCAATATAAATTCAAGGTATTTGTTCAAATGCATTTATTATATAAATATTAAGAAATATAAATACATGTAGACTTATCAAAGTATAATAAATTTTGGTTTTCCTTGGTATTTTCCAAGGTAAAACTAAACTTTAAAAATAATATTTATAGCAATTTTTTTCTGTTACCGTACTACTTTACGTGTTAACATAGCCTGAAATTCTCATGGTTGCAGGTCCCCTGGATATGCGCATCCTCCCACCAATAAACCTACAGATGACTCTGTCAGTGTAAACTCAGGTGGTGAGAGTGCTTCCTCAAGTGAGCATTCACAGCCACCACTTCAGTTTGCAAACCCAACAGGTTCTCAGTTTTCACAGTCTGCTTGTGTTGCCTTCCAACATCCTGGCAGCAGCAGCTTGGACTCATCCCGGAGATCTAGTGGCAACCCATCAACTATTGAAGATCCTCTACTTGAGGCTCAGAAGACACTCATAGAACACCAGATTAAGGTGTGATGCTTAAATCAATGATCTATTATAATCCTTTGAATTACTTACTGAAATTGGATAACTTCGAGTTTGGAATGGCGGGAGTGAAACCCCATGGTATGGAGGGGTTGGAATGGTCGGAGTGAAACCCCAAACATGGGTATAACACCTAATATCTGACAATTCTGATAGCCCTTGTTTGGTTGGAAAACTTTGGAGGGAAAGAGAGGAAAGTGAAGGAATGTCGTGTTTTGGTTACTGGGGAAGCGGAGAAGTTATATTTTTTCTTTGTTTCTTTTTTCATTTTTTTTTATCAATACTATTCTACATTATTTTTGTATAATTGTAGATTACTATGGAGTATATTTTTAATTGCTTAAATGAATGATCTATTGTGATGCTTTGAATTACATAGATCATTGATTTAAGCAAAAAAGTATATTGAAAGTACTATTTGTATACATTTTTTTAAAACAACCCCTCTTCCTCTGTTCTCTCCCTTTGAAGTTTGAACTCACCATAACAACTCTTTAGACTTTTCCCTCCCATTTTGAACGAAATAAATTTAAGGAATGCTTAGAGTCAGTATGGATAGATGGTATTGGAGGGGTCATCCTGGATGGTTTCAGCTTGTATATGAATTTAAACTCTGTTGATTTTGATTCGGTGTTTCGAAAACCAACAATTGGTGATTAAAATGTAATGTGATCATCTAGTATATTATTCGTTAAACAAAACCTTTAAAATTACAAATGTATATCAAGATAGAGACTTGGTCCTCCAACACCCTTCCTCCTAACCAACCCTTCGAATCTCCTTGATGATATGAAATTAACAACATTGGGTTTTTGTATACTAAGATTGCACTGTTGCAGGTTTTGCAAAACCAACTCACGCTTTTACAGAACCCAAGAAATGTTGAGAACATGACTGCTGCCCCGGAAGCTTCGGATGAAAAGGGAAAAGGCGTGTCGTCATAGTCTTAGTTTTTTTTCTGGGTTCGAATTTGTGATATTGTAGATCTGCAAATTGATGACACTTCGTCTGTATATTTTGACCTTGTTCTTACCTAGGGAATATGATGTATTTTGTTGCTCTACAGAGAAATGGTTGGGTAAAATGTTTGCCTGCATTGTGCATGGATGGATTACGGAAATGAAGTAAAAGCATAGAAAGATGAGTAATAGAATACTTACAAGCTTTTTTATCGGCACACTTTTTTGGTGCTCTTTTGTTAACGGGTAAATAATAGAACGATAAGACAACATGATAATATGGTGATCAATTACTCCGTCTTGAATAAAACGGCAAACTTTGGGCCAAGTTAATTTAACAATTTTTTTAGTTTGTTTTTATAATAAAATTGAATCCATATTAAGGATGTTTTAATTTTTAATTGGATAGAAATTTCATGGCTTGCTTTATTCTTGGTTGTTTAGACTTGTTCTGGTCTGAATTGGTTTGGTTTGATCTACTACTGGTCTTAGGGATGGACTCGGGCCGGGCCAACCGGCCCGGAACCGGACCGGCCCGCTACTGTGCGGGCCTGGACCGGCCCGGTGAACCGGTTCGGTTCCGGTTCGGGCCTCCCGGCCCGGTTATATACCGGTCCGGGCCCGGGCCTCCAGTTTAGTGAACCGGCCCGGCCGGGCCGGGCCCGGTTCGGGCCGGAATTTAATTTTTTTTTTTTTTTGAAATTTTTTTAAGTTTTGGGTTGGATTAGGTATTTTGGGCCATTTGAGGTGGTTTGAGGTGGAGGGGGAGGGGTAGGGGGTTAAATAAGAGAAGAAGAAGAAGAAAAAAAAAAAACATTCCGGGTGGCCCGGCCCGGCCCGGCCCGGTTCTGGCCCGGAACCGGAACCGGAACCGCCCACCACCGGTTCGGGCTCGGGCCTCCTTTTTCTGAACCGAGGCCCGGCCGGGCCTGGGCCCGAACCGGAACCGGTCCACCCCTAACTGGTCTGGTCTGAATTGGTTTGGTTTGATCTACTACGGGTTTGAATTGGTTTGATTTGATCTACTACAGGTCTGAATTGGTTTGATTTGATCTACTAGATGTTTGATCTACTAGTATGTTTTTTATAATTTTCAAAGTTTGATATCGTTTGTTCAAATCTTGTCTCATGTGATATTAGATTGAAATTTGTATAACTGAAACATTCTAAATTTCTAGCATCTAAGTTCTTAGAAATTTTTATTTACGATGTCATTTAGAATAGCTATCAAACTATGTTATGTGGATTGTATTTTGATTTGTATATAAAAGAGATCCGATATGCTCCTCCAAAAGTCCAAATTACTCCGTAATCCGTATGTTCTTAGGATACTTTTCCATGGATTGAATTATTGAAATATAAGTCACCTTTGATTTGGTCTGATCTACCTAAGTCTGGTATACTTATTATTTGTGTATTTTATAATTGTTGATACCTGGTCTGTTTTGGTTTGGTGTGTTCTGATTTGATTCGTTTTGGTTTGGTCTAGCACTCTAGCGTGAGGTTCGAAGTTCTGGAACTAGGGGCAGACTCGGGCCGCCCGGCCCGGAACCGGCCCGGCCCGGTACTGTTTGGACTGGTTCGGGTCAACCGGAACCGCTCTAATCCCGGTGTGGGCTCGGTCCTCCTAAAATCGATCCGGCCCGGCCGGTCCGGGCCCGATTCGGGCCTAATTTTTTTTCCCAATTTTTTTTTTGTTTCTACCGGGTTCGGTGTTTGGGGGGGGGGGGGGGGGGGTTGGGTGTGAAGGGGGTCGGGGGTTATTTAGAAAATCAAGAGGAAAAAATAATAATATTGAACCGGAACCGGCCCAACCGTGCACCTCACAAATTTACACAAAGAAGTGTCAAATCGTATTTTAAGCTTATTTTTCAATAATTTATGCCATTTATTTTTATTTCCCTTTAGCTCAACTCATGTGAGCTTAGAGCATCCACATTCATGATATTTAAATAAACAGATTTTTTGTGACACGTAGATTTTTTCAAAATAATCTCACACCTTTGAAATCACGCCATTCATCATCTCAAAATAATCAGATTTTTTGCGGGTCCATTACTCACCAATTAATACTAGATTAACAATGATATTGAAATAATCTGGATTCATATTTCAATTCCGGATTATTTTTTCAAATAATCTCACTAAATAATCTTCATCACCCAACCATGATCCCAAAATTAATCCGCCACATCAACAACTTAATCCTCTAATAATCTCATGGATGGAGATGCCTTACATGGACTAATCTCGCCCATAGCTCTTCACCAAGAATCTAGTCTACTCATAGAATGACACAAAATCTGAAGTATTCCGTGCACGAATCGATCATTAACGCATAAAAGAAATGATAGTGTAGCAGTGTGCTGATTCCAGGCTGAAAGAGGGATAGAAGCTTGCGTTTTCAACGCTATCTTCCTTTGGCACCGGCTCTGTTAGCCGGAATATATCAAATCGCTATCGGTGTTTTAGATCACCACTTATGCAATAGCAGTCATTTCCCGATCACCGATCTCTTCATTTCCGTCTGATTCCCGAAAACGAGATAACAATTAGGCCTAATGGGACAAGCTTTCCGCAAGCTCTTCGACACCTTCTTCGGCAACAGCGAGATGAGGGTACGCTCTTTTCAACTACTAGCTCGTCTTCCTTACGCATTCTATTCACTTTACATTTGATTTTTGAGCTATCTCATGTTTTACAACTGAAATGCTACCTAGTGGTGGTCATTACTTATCCACTATTAAATTCCCAACTTGGAGCTGTTTCACACTTTCACGGATGTTGTTATTTACTTCCGCTTTGTCTAATACTCTCATAATGTTTATTGTAAGGTCTAGCTGAAGATTTATTAGCGTTATTTTAATCTGCGTGTGATTTTGTGTAATTATTTTAATATTTTTATTATAAGGACAACATTTATTCCTGAATTTAATACTGTAAGTCTGTCAGGGCAACTTAGCTTTTTATGGAAGTGTTTATTAGTTCCCGTTCATTCTATTAGCATCTGCTTGTTACAGTATGTAGTTTATTGAAGTTTGTAGGGTAGCATTAATACTTACAGCACGCTGTGGGAGATAGGAGTTATGTGTGTTTCCAACATATGCCCCTATTCTCTGGTTTGTGATCATGGATGGTTCTTTATTACATCTATTCATACAGGTTGTAATGCTAGGGCTTGATGCAGCTGGAAAAACTACTATACTCTATAAGCTACACATAGGAGAAGTTCTATCAACAGTTCCTACCATTGGTTAGTCAATTCTATGTATGACTAAGGACCAGTAGAAGTAATTATTATTCCGTTCTTTACTGTTTTGGACATGGAGGAGAGACCATATTGCAAAGAATTTTGTTGAGTTTTACTTTTTATTTTGGTGCCACATCCCTATTCTTATCTACCTTTTTTCTTTGCAAGGTTTTTAATGAAACGAACACTGTGACTTTGAGATTTGTTTAGAAAAGATAGAAACGATATTAACCACACTTCTACATAATCCTTACCTAAGGTAAAAACAGAAATGGAAAGAGTGGTAATAAAAAGGGATAGAGTGAGAGAGTATCAACTTTGCAATTCTATAAACTATGGTTTCTAATTTTTCTGTTGTGATTTTGCTTACTTTCTTTTTCTTTATTTCTACATTATCATCCTAGATCTGATATATCCACAATACCACATGGACCAGAGGTGTTAAATTTCACAATGATTAGTTGAAGGAAGAAAAAGGGGGGAGATTATGGAAAACAAGATGGTTTCTCTTGTGAAGAACATTTAGGGTCCATCTCACAGGCAATAAAATTATTTTGGATATTTTTTCAAACTCAATTTTTTTTACGTATTTAAATAAAAATTTCCATAGATAGTAGTAAAACATAACAGACTTCTTCAAATAGGACCACTGACCACCATTGTTTTCTTCCCAAAATAGGACTCAGACACCATAAACGAATGTTTTCTATTCTTTCGTTAAGATTATATAAGTCATATTTTTAGGATAAAATATAATTAGTCCTATTTGTGAACTGCATCCATATTTTACTCCCATTTGAGCAATTTTTATAAATTATTATTGTATAATGTTTAAGAAACATATATTATATAAATGAAAAAAGATTTATTCTTTGAACATCTCATTTTCCTTTGCGATTTCCAAGCTAAAGGAAAACATTGAAAAACTTAGCAGTTTAGACTTTCTATAGAGTGTAAAGCTGAAGGTTAAGCTTTCCATTGCTTGATAGAGCCAAACTAAGGGATGCTTCTTAAACTTTTGCTAGTAAGTTTGCATTTAAATTTTTCCAGATAGAGAGTAGTACTAGAAGGTAAAGCTTGCCAATATTTAATATGGCTAATAGCAAGGCATTCTTGATTTTTTTTGTAATATGTTTATGAGTATTTTAGTACTTGATGGAATGGAAGGGTGAAAGGAGATCCATGCTAGTATGTTACCTACCTATGCCAACTTAATTGGGATTTAAAGGTCATAAGTGTAATAATACTATCACTACAGTGCGACCTTCCTCTTGAAACTTATTGCTATGCCTTGTTGTTGGTAAAATTATAATGCATCACACAGAATGCATACTATATATATAGAGCAAGAAAAGGTGATACAATTTTGCTGGAAACAGGCTTCAATGTGGAAAAGGTGCAGTATAAGAATGTGATTTTCACTGTCTGGGATGTTGGTGGACAAGAGAAGTTAAGGCCTCTCTGGAGGCATTACTTCAACAATACAGATGGACTGGTAATTTTGTTCAGATTTTGACATCATAGGATATCATTATGTCTGTCTTACATCCTTTGTTAGGCTTTGGCTGTGTTTTTCTTCATGCCTTATGATCAGTCCTTGACACACTTTCTAAAATTCTACTACCCCCTCGTCCCAAAAAAGTGTCTTGTTTCTAGACTTATTTTTGTCCCAAAAAAGGGTCATATTTCAACAAATAAGAGTTAATTTTTTGAATGTTAATGTAACTTTTCCATAAAGTGTTCTAACCAAGTTAAAGCATGTTAAATGTGTAGTTGAACCACAATCAAATTGTAAAATATACCCCGTCCCTTTCTATCTCATCATTAATGAAATCAATACAAATTATTATTTTTCTCTAAACCTCTCTTATACTATTTAGTTTATCCATGAGGAACATAGATGGGCGGGTGGCTTTTCATGATGGCATTTTACGCATTTTTTTAATGAATACATACAGTACCCCCATGTACATTATCTTAAACTGTGAGGTTAGGATTGTTAAGTTACACGAGTTTGCTTTTACCAAAAGTTTAAAAGATGTACAGTACCCCCATGTGCATTATCTTAAACTGTGAGGTTTGGATTGATAAGTTACAAGAGTTTGTTTTACCAAAAGTTTAAAAGATGTAAAGTAATGAAATCATGATATCTTTTTTTGGGGTGTGAAAGGAGTAATATGGTGACATCTGTCTCATAAATTTCTTGTCTAACTTAATGTAGATCTATGTTGTTGACTCTTTGGACCGAGAGAGGATTGGAAGGGCCAAAGAAGAGTTTCAGGTTGTATGTCTAAGCAGTACTGTGTCTATGTGATTCCATGTGCTTCCTCTTTGGCTTACCCTCCCAAATGTGCTTAATTTTTTCAGGCCATTATCAAAGATCCTTTTATGCTTAATGCGGTAATTTTAGTTTTTGCTAACAAACAGGACATGGTACGTTATACATTGCAAGATTATCAATAATCTCTCAAGTTTGACTTAATTCATTACCTTTGCTTCTATAGAATACTGATTTAATTTTTTGGCTTCCTCATACGTATCTTCAGCTACCATTTGTAGCTTGTAGGGTTGCCCCATTTTTTCGTTCCTATACAGATTTTTAAATAGGCAACCTCCTATTAAATACATAGCTATGACTCCGTGCCTTTTAATTTTAAAAAAACTTCTAACTCTGTCCCTAATAATATTTAAATTAGTTTAGTAGTTAAAATTTACACATTTAGAAACTACACAAAATATTCTAATTAACCACTTAAGGCTGAATTTGGTTGAGACACCTGAACAACAAAATGAAAAAAAATGGAGGGAGTGCTGTTTGGAAACAATTCCTAGGCCTGGCCCCAAATACAGAAGCTAGAGTATCCAAAATTGTTGAAATATGTATGCCTGTAAAGCCTGCAAGATTTATATCATTATGAATAAATTCAAAGTGAATGTTCATTGTAGATTTAGGAAACCCATATGTATATCAACAGCTGCATCATTTTTTTTTTAATTTTTTTATTTTTATAATAGTGCATCATTATCCATTATGTATCCATTTGGTTTGTCCATCAGTTATGATGTTCTATGGTGTGGATATTTTACAATATCAATTTGCAACTATAGATGATTATAGCAATTATTTCAACTGATTTTCATGAATACTGTTTTTTTTTCAACTAAAAAAACTTAGGATGATGACACTATTGGAATTCCATCTCATTTTCTTTCATTTGAGAACAGTGAAAGGAAATGAATCCAGTGTAAATTTTTGTCAGATATTTTGCAACAATTTACAATTGTCAAGTAAATTGAGACAATTAATTGATGCTATGAATTTTATGCCATTAATCATCAACGTAGTTGGGCGTAAGGTGATGATGATGATGATGCTTGTGATTGGTTCAGAAAGGGGCGATGACACCCATGGAAGTATGTCAAGGCCTTGGACTGCTTGACCTTAGGAGCAGAAAATGGCATATACAAGGGACATGTGCTTTAAAAGGGGATGGACTTTACGAGGGTCTTGACTGGTTGTCAAGCACTCTGAAGGAGCACAAAGCTTCTGGCTTCTCCTCAGTAGGTGGCGGCACTTCAACCTTTTGATTGTTCCAACTCTGTATGTAATTTGGCGTTTCTTATCTGAGTTTGATTGAATATAGGCTTTTGTTTTCTTTCATTGTTTGAACTTTGAAGTCGTCAATTTTATGTACCGCCTTGGGCAGCAGGTTTAATAGAGGAGTTCAAGTCTTCAATGCTTCCGCTACTACAAAGAGAAAACCGTCTTCTTGTAAGGCTGCAAAACTAAGATTCGAATTCTTTGTTGCTCCCAACATTCATAGTATTGAATGAAAGTAGATGTTTAACTATGGTGTGAATGATACTTCAAAGTTCAAATGTGTGAATAGAGTTTGGCAGTTGGATGAACTTTTGCACATTTCCCACAATACCCCCCCCCCCCCCCCCCCCCCCTCCCATTGCTATGAATGGTTGCTCCAGTTGCTAATATAACTACTTACAGATAAATAAATAAATAAATTGCAAAATGTAATCATTCCATCTCAAAATATAATTTACAGTTTTTGATCTTTTTATAATATAAAACCCCACTAAAAATTAGTTGTTTAAGTAAAAAGTGATCACTTTTTAATTCACTCTGTATGTGATATTGTGATTATTTTTTGACAAAGGGTTTTCTTTTGTAAATATCAAAGGTTAGAAATTAAGTCGAAGTAAAAAAGGATTTAGTAGTTTAAATTATAGTTTTAGCAATTTTGAGTCCAACCAAAAGCACCCGCACTCGCTCTAAATGTAATGGGATTTGGTGAACTCTACTCATTCATGATAATATGTTAAAGGAAAACACACCACAGTTTTATTTTTCAGAATTATATATAAATGTCATTGCACGGTGACACCCGGTAATGGTATAATAGCAAAAAAAACTTATTACATTAATTCCAACCTGGAAAGAACATAACAAAAGGACTTTATGTCCTTTTACTCTCAAAACAAAAAGGATGCTGGAAACACTTTATTTTTTCATTCAAACCGGATTTCTTCCGGAATGTTCACTTTTTTATCATTTATTGGCTGGCTTCGTCGTCATGCCAACTGAGAATCAACTTGAGGGGTTGCAGAAGATTCTGTCAAGACATAACAAGCTGCCACATCATCATCCATTCTTGAAGTTTGTGTTTTTACTTGTTTTTCAGCCAAAATAGCATCAGCATCATCCATGTTAGTCTCTGGAGCATTAACATCTAGCTGCAAAATCTCAGACCTTCCATCAGTTTCTGCACCACCTTCATCTATGGACTCTTTAATCCCTTGATGGATCTGAATTTTAGCTTCTTCATCGTTAGAGCACGGAAACACTTCGTTTTTTACATGAATATAATTATCACCTGCAAATTCATCTAATGCCTCTTTTACCCCTGCCCAACTGATATCAAATTTAACTTCTTCAGCTTCAGGACATGGAAGCTCTTCCTTATTTATATTATTTTCATTGTTAACTGCACGTTCACCCAATGAGTCTTTTACCCCTTCCCAACTCATCTCAAATTTAGCTTCTTCATCCTCAGAGCAGGGAAGCCCTTCATTTTGTACCACATAATTCTTATCACCTGGAAATTCATCCAAAGGATCCTCCTCATCTGAACTCTCAGTGTCATGTTCAGACTCCTCCAGCGTCCCTGAGCTCTCATCCTTCTCATCCGTTGTTTGAAACTCTTCCAATGTTGTTTCTTCATCTGAAGAAGCTTCAAATATTGTTTTTGTGACACATTCATCTGAATCACGAGAAGTTTCTTTGGCCTCCGCTTCATCATCCTTGTGGCTAGTAAGTTTAGCCAATAGTGACCCTTCCTCTACAATTTCAAGGTTGTCTTCCTCAGCAGCTGCATTTTTATCCTCAGTGCAAGAGGATCCCTCAGCTTTTTTCTCATTCTCATCATTATCCAACTGCTTCGGTAGGACAACGCCATCTTCCTCAGGATCACATATTTCTTCAGTTTTGGACTTATCATCTAAATCAACAATCTGCTGTTGGCAGTCTTTAGACTGTAGAGGGTCAGCAACATGAAGTTCACTGTCAGAGTGCTCATTGATGGCCTCATAACCTTCACTGTCGCATACTGCTTTAGAGGTGGTGTTGGCTTCACATTTTTTACAGATTTTGTTAGCATTGAAAGCAACAGAAAGGGCATGTGGTGAATCTTGCAAACCTAATTCAACATTATGAGATGAACCTTTCAAGTTCAAACATTCCTCACAATGTGATCCTTTGCCTGCAGATACACCTTTTACAACATCTAATATATTTGTGAATTTAGAACTTTCAGGCCCAATATCCAATGAGATGTCCTGAAGCTTCACAGCTTTGTCATCATTTGCATCTTCTTCTTCCTCCAACTTCCTAGATGCTAGTGACATGTCAAATGACATATCAAGCAATAAGAAAACACATCACTTATAGTACTCCGTATATTAGAATAAGTATTGAAGAGAATTTAGAAAATGCCTAATTTATTTGGCCGAGTCTAATGTTCCATCACCAATGATTATCATCCATCTTCAAAGTGGGGCCGTACCCAGAATGGAGATATTTAGTATTGAGGAAGCCATCGGGCTCCAATGGGCATTGATGCAAGGAAACATGGAAACCTAAAAGTTTACTTTGAAAAGTAGACATGGGAAGTTGGGAACAATTCAAAATGATATTGGACGTACAAATTGACCATTATTTTCTGTGTTTTTCAGAGGGTTTAGTTGTATCACTTTTAACTCCTCCCTTAACATGTTTAGTTTCTCAGTTTCACCAAAGAATGCGCTTGGATCTGTCGTACCTTTCGATTGTTTCGTATCCAAAAGCTCATCTAAGCACTGTTTGGAGTTCACTTCCGATCCTTCAAAAACAACCGTCTCTGACATTTGATCGTGATTTTTGGTTTGTCCCTTCTCTCCTTTTGCAGCTAACCTTGCTGACCTGCGAACGCTGGAATATATTTGGCTAGCTGAAGTGTTCATCTCTTTCAGTTCCCCTTTTTGATTAGTCAGCATAGTACTTGGTGTCTTGGGAAAATCACCACCCTTTCCTTCATCAGTACTACCCTTTACATTTCTGGCAATTATTCTTCTTCTTGAGTAGAGAACGGCAGAATTTTCAGATCCATTTTTTACCTTCTGCCACGTTGGTGTCCTACCACAAGAGAGAGGAACATCTTGTGTGGTTATATCTGACTTCTGGGGTGACTCAACCGTGGAAATTCCACTTTCAGATTCCAATGGTTTCAGAAAATCTTCAATACCTTCAACCTGAATAATGCATTGATGAAAAGTCGGTAAAATCTCCAAAAATGTTAGGTGGAATAGAACGCCATCCTTCCAGATTGAAAGTGCAGCGAGCCAAAATGTTAAATCCAATTCTATAGTTCAAAGAAGCTTAATCACATACTCTAATTAAAAATGAAATGAAAATTTTGGAATACCCTCACTCGATTGACATGTATAAATCTCTGATCGCAATTCCAGAAAACTGATCATTGATTCAGAAACAACTCAAAACCTCGTTTATTCATATTACTTTCAAATAAGTTAAGAAATTTAAAAGATGGAACAGTTAAAAACATCGATATCACAAAACTCATGGCCTGAGAGTTGAGTGCTTGAAATCTTACGAGTTTTAGAGCTTTGAGAGCGTCGGCCATGGCAACATTGGACCTATTCGCCGGAATTTTATTCTTCTTGCACAAAGACTGGAGTTCTCTCCTGGTGAGACTTCGGAAATCCATGGCTGATAAAGGCTAGGCTGAGATCGATGTATGCGATATGGTAAGAAAATGGCGATGGCAGTTTGGCGTAGATAGGCGGAAGTGTCAGAGGTATATATAGCTGTAGCCGTAGCCATTAGAGTGGAGATTCAAATTTGAATTTTTGGTTGTCGCTAGGCGGTTTACCATCGCAGAATGCGGGAAGAAGATGAATCGCGCTGTTTTTGTGAATTCAAAAGATCGCTTCATTTATGGTTCGTTTTCAATAAGCAATAAAAATAGAGGTTGTTTTCAATGGTAAGGAATTAATTACAAATGGGAATACGTATTCAACATAAATTTTGTTCTAATTTTTTAATTATACACATTTGCAGGGTGCAATAATTAAGTGAAACACATCTTGACTAGTTTCTTCTTGCATGAATGAATAGTTGAATACAAATTCAATCGAGTTTGTATATATTTCTTCCGTTCTTTTTTAGTTGCAACGGTCAACATTTCACATTTGCCAGCGCACGACTTTGACCGTAATTATATCTTAATCTCTATTAGTAAAAAAAAATTAAAAATTGGATTTTGAAACTTTGTAATGAGATGAATTGAACAATATCTTTTTTAAAAAATAATTTTCATAAAATAATAGCGTAAAATTTAGTCAAAATAGAGCCTGTGAATAGTATAAAATTCAAAAAGTTGCGATTAAAAAGAAACGGAAGATAGTATACTACTAGTAGGACACAACTAGGTGTTTAATTTTTTTTTTCAGGGAAAAATAAATGCAAATTATGATTTCAACTAAAGTGTATTTTTTTTAACTGCGACAAAAGATAAACTATAAATACGAACTCATTTGATTTGAGAAACTTTAAGTTTACTTAAAATAGTGATAAAGCAAACAAATGTTTTCATCACCATTAGCTTGATTAGAACTTATCATAACTTGCCTTAACCAAAACGCAATTCTGTTACGGAGTGGGGGGGGGGGGGGGTCTGTATGGTTTGATCAAACATATGAAACTCGATTTTAGTTTGATGATTGTTCTTCAAAAACTACTTATTCAAACTAAAATGGGATACAGCCACATTGAAATGAAAAATAGGCGATAAAACCAATACTAGTATAATCCAAACCTCCACGTCTCAACCGAACCCAAACAAATCTAAACCGGGCCAAACTGCAAATTATACCGTATGCCCGGCATACCATGGGCATGGTATGCCGGTCCAAGTACGGCACCATTTTTCTCTGGAGCACTATGTTCGTTTCCTTTCTTTTCCTTCAAGAATCAAGCCCTCCAGATTTCTTTGGACCACTATCTCTTTATTTTTTTTTGTTTTCTCCAATTATTTTCTTCTCTTCATCTAAATATTAAAAACTAATTTTGAATTTTCTTATATTCATCTTTAACTAATTAAATTGTAATCGAAATAACTTTTTTCTTTACCAATTTATTACAAATTTTTCTTAATCCACATAAAATATTTTTCATATTCATACACTTTTTTCTATAATATTTTATTTTATCTCTTTTAGATGTTTGTAACGTTTTTAAGACATTTATTTAGAACAACTTAAGTTAGGGAGCGCAGATCGTTTCTCTTAGTCTCCTAGGGCAGCCACCTCTAGGCTTTTTTTTTTTGAATTCGATCATATTGATCGAAGTTCGGCTGTTCTTGTTCGCATATCTGGCCGCGGAGCAGTGGTCTGCTTTTAGCTAAGGTAGAGCGATCACGAGTTTTTCTCTCTAGGGCTTTGACTATGTCGGCCGCTGGAGCCTTTTTCCGATTTCGACTTTATCGAAGATCGGCTTTGTTATCCCTTGGTCGCTGGTGCTCGACTGGAGTCCAGGTCAGACGCGGAGGGCGGAGATTGGTGGAGGAGGGCAGATTTGTTGTCATGGCTCGAGGAGATCGGCGCTGTGGCCAAGGTTCGAGTATGCGGCGTTGCTGTCGTCGTTGGAGAAGATCGGCGCCGCCTGTCCGCTTACTCTGGTCGCACGGAGCAGGGATGAGTTTGGTTATGCAGGGACGGAGGATTGATGCATGGTCTTTGGCAGCCAAAGGTCATGGAGGATCAATTAGCATGGTACCAGTGGTACGACCTCCTCCTGAACCACCACTATGGGATGCACGAGGTGCTAGAGTTCATGAACGTTTTTCTTGTAGTTTTTATCTGTTTGTTATTTGTTTTCTTGCGTCCATTTTTGTTGTTGGGTTTGACAGTTTGTTTGAGTTTTTTTGCCTCTCTTTATGTCATTGGGTATGGTTGGATATATGGGAATAGTTTTGGCTGTGTCAAGCCCACTACATGGTTAGCGATTCGTGTTGCTCTCTCAGGGGTGACCGTCTCAAAGTCTCACCATAGGGTTATAGTCGTAGTTGTTGGAGTTTCAGTTGGTGTCTGTTTTATTTTCCCTTTGCTTGATGTAATGATCCTGATGAATCTTTTGATATGAATAGATGCATGTTTTGATGATAAAAAAAACGTTTTTAAGACATTAAGTGTGTTTATTTGAATTTAAATCCGATAAAACATGAGATTATATTTTTGAGCTACGTTTTATAAAAAAAAAATTATTTTTCTTTAAAACATATTTATTTCTTTTCTTCTTCAAAAATAACATAAATACATTTATTGGTCAAATAAAATAAACTTACCCATAATTGTAAAACATATTTGCAATTAAACTTCTTATTTTTATTGTTTACAATTGATAATTTGATATTATATGAAGTTACATTTTATGTGCGAGTTACATCTATTTATGCATGAGTTACATCTCAATGTACGCGAGTTGCACCACGAAATAAACACCTGCTAATGACCAAAAAGTGATTTTTTAACTACATCATTTTGTATAGCCCTAAAATTAAAAAGACATATTCACTATTTACAAAAAGTAATTGGGCAATTAAAATCAATTTTTTTTGCATTGAAATAAATGTTTATAACATACATATACATTGAAAGATAGTTTACATTTCAACTTTTCTAGATTTACATTTTAATGTACTCGAGTTACATCTTAATGTACACGCGTTAAACCACAAAACAAACCCCTACTAATGATCAAAGAAAGATTTTTTAAGGGAAAATCGCACTTTTAGTCCCTGAAATAGTCACGAAAATGAAATGCCGGACCCGTATTTCTGATATTGTAAATGTCACCCCTCAATTGTCCAAAATGTTGTAAATGTGGTCCTTTATGGGGTGAAATGTACTCTCGCCCACATTGTATATTTCACCCCTAAAAGGAACACATTTACAACATTTATGACAATTGAGAGACGACATTTACAAACTTGGGAATACGGGTCCGACATTTCATTTTCATGACTATTTTAGGGACTAAAAGTGCGATTTTCCCATTTTTTAACTATATCCTTTTTTATAGCCCTAATATTAAAAATAAAACATATTCACTATTTTGCAAAAAGTAATTGAGAAATTAGGATCATTTTTCATTGTTTACATTGAAATAAATGTTTTTTTCTTCTTATATTTCGTTTTAGACAACTTACATTCCAACTCGACTCAAATTACATTTCCTATCAACATGAGATACATTTTGTTGAACGAGAGTTACACCTGCCTGCTACTGAAGCACAAGAAAGAAATCATTGTTCACCCGCATCACTGTTCATGCGAATTTTACCACTGGGAGCATGGTGTTCATAGTGGGCCAGTACCACGGCATGACAACTAAAGCCAAACATAGATTGATTGGATTTTAATTTGGAAATCATTTCCCTTGCTTGTTTTAAATTGAACCAAACCAAAACCGTAAAATAAAATAACAAAACGAAATACCAAATACCAACAAAACCACAATAGAAGAACATAAACACATTAAACTAAATAAATAGAAGCATGTTTCATCACCATATTATGTTTTATTCTCCCCTGTGCCTCCTCCAAAAATAGGGTCTTTCCAGGCTACCAATACAAGTAGTGCATCTGTGGGCATGTGGCATTGGATCGTGCTCTCTCATGCAATTATGTGTGAGATTGGATCGAATGCTACCCAAGCCCATGTGAGCACAACTCACATGGGTAGCATTAGAATTAGCCCCAAAACAAAGCCCACTAAACTCTAGGGACAAACTAGTGTTACAACAGCAGCCTATTGACTATATTAACAATCAAACAAGCTGTCGCCTCTTATAGGTATCTTCATGCACAAAAACTGGTTCCGGAACAGCTGACGTGGAGACTTGAGTTGGCCCCATTACAATGCCACCCTGACGTAAAGGAGCCACAGGTGGAAGTGAGGGTGGAACAACTTGACCATTCCCCTTCTTAGCAGAAGTCAAGGTCAGATAATAGACAATACCAAGGGCAACACCCGCAAGCGAAAGGTAAGCAGCTCCAGCAAAAACCCCAGGTTTAACAACATAGCAATAGTGGTTGCCAAAGTACACGTTATCGTCACCATGGCGTTCATTCAGTGCTGCCCCCGTTAGAAGAAGTAAAAACGCAATGACGGATACAAACCTGCAAAAACAAACAAGTTTTGACTATCACGTTATTGCTCTGATGGCTTAGGGCTGTAGATGAACTAAGCTAACCAAGTTGGTGGTTCAAGGGCAACTTGAAGGAGTAGCCCCCCTATTACAAGACCTTACGTTGTACTCCAAAGTTTGTATTCTGTTTTTTATATTTATTCAATTTAAGATGAATTCCTTTAACAATGTTCTTCAAGATGATTGCTGGTTGGAGCAAACCATCTTGAAACATGGGTGTTCTTGTTTAGCATTCAATTAGCCAGATATATAGCCTTAGCTGATCCTTGACATCATTGGCGGCTTGGTAAAAGTTTGGTTGAGTCATTTAATGAGGCTCGTTAAAATGAGCAAATCAAAATCAGGTACTATGAGTAATTGCAAAAGTTAGTCACCGAATTACCAGGAAACAGAGAAGCACACAAGTGCCAAGGTCCACTTAGCGTTGGACTGGTGCGGACCTTTTCTGCAACAAATACATCCAGATGCAACATTGACAATGATTTGGGCAATCATGAGAGCAACAGCTGCAGTCAATCCAAGGCCCAATGCAGGACTCCGCGGGTATACACATTCTGAAGGTGGGATGAACTCAACTTGGTAACCCTGAATAACATTATTGGGTAATAAAACGAATGATGGTTATCATGAAGATTGGAGTATGTTCTGCAAGTCTGCAACAACATAAACTTAAAAGTTGACCGGCAAAAGCATGAAAATGTACGATCTAGCCCCTGGGCATGAATATTATTGTAAGATCATTATTATTTTTTGCGCTATGTCAAAT